AGATAATTAGACATAACGGTTTCCATTGAATAAAATATGCATGTAAATTAATGTAGAAAACCTTTAAAAGGTTATTTACATTAATGTTGTTCTTCATAAATAAAATACAAAATAGAGATAGAGAAAGAAAAGAAAAATCATTGCCGAATTATTCGTTAATTAGAATAATTAACATTTAGCCATTTTTATGTTATTTATTTGTCCTTATTAAGCGGTTAAATTATGAAAATTTAAATACCTAACACCTGAAGAGCAAAAAGAACACTAAGTTATTGTGGTATGTTTATATTTAAATGCATAATTTTATTTAAGGTACTTTTTCAAAGTTAATTTGCATGTTAACACTGGGTAAACATATTATGCATTTTTATGTAAAAAGCATATAAAATTTAATGTTGTGTTTACCGTTAATACGTTGTCATATTTTGCGTTTTTGTTGTCGAATCACAGGCACATATAGCTGTTAAGTTACGTCTCAAAAGAGCTTAATCAGGAAGAACAATAAATTTAAATTATTGTTAACTTTGAAGGATAACGATAATTACTGGCGTATTGTTAAGTTATTTTCTTGCCATGACATACAATGACAAAGAAGTATCCTTGAAAACGAGCAAATTATTGTAACAACAACGTAATGTGCAACTTCATTCTTCTAGAACTTATTACATAATTTTTATTCCTCCGTTAGAGACATTTGTTAATGTAATTTCCTTCGTTACACTTCCTTTAACTTCATCCCAAATTTTAGGGTTTTAGTATAACTTTTAGAGTACAATGCAATATCTAAGTAAAAAAGGATTTCATTACGAAAAACTACCTGTGCAAGGTACTGGGAAGGAAAAGAGAAGAAAATATACTTAAAAAATAATGGAGTAGATGGACACATAAAAAAATTGAAGATGAAAGCATGAGGGGTAACGGGAAGGCTATGGGGAATAGGAGACAGAAAGCTCAAAGAGAATTGGTAAAAGAAATGTTCCTATTCGAGACATTAGTAGAAAGCAAACTTAAAATTCGAACAGGAATACACAAAAATATGAAAAGAAAGGGAAGAAAACCAAATTATTTGAAAGGCGGAAACGAAGATTCAGACTAGAAAATGAGAATCGGGAATCAAAGTACTGGGGAAAAAGTAGAGAAGAAAATAGGCAGGCTCTGTAAACTGGAACCAGAGAGATAAAAAAAACTTGTGTATTTCTTTCCCACCAACTACTAATGCTTCAGCCTCCTTTCAGGGATCGTGGGAATGGGTGGGTGGTGGTTCGGGTGAGAAAGTTGAGACGGACGAAATGAAAACAGAAGAGAATGAAAGATTATCTATTGAATATTACCGCCTCAGCATTTGCCTTAGTGATCCAAGGAAACCACAGAAGAATTTGGACCAAGGCAGACGGATCCGGAATCGAACCGACGTCCTCCCGAATGCTAATCAATGGATTAAACCTCTAGACCATGCCGCTCAGTACTAGGGAGATGTGGAATAACAGGAAAATGGTATAAAAAATGGTAAATTCAAATGGAAGCAAAGGATGGTCTACAAAGGATACCTAAGAAAAATATTACGGAAATGCGAGAAATACGAAGATTAGCTAAAGGCAGTAAGATGATAAAACTTTTGAGACTGTTGTTTCTTGACTTCCTTAATAGAGTTTAAGATGTTTTTTATGTAAACAGAAGTATAACTTCTAGCTGCGTACCTACATAAGTGCCTCTTTTAACAAATATATAATACTATACAACGTAAAATTGTACAGTCATTTAGATACAATAAGCCATGCAGATTACTTGAATAAACAGTTTTTTATTAAGAATGAAATGTTTCTTTTTGTTGAGAACAAAATACGAAAACGATTCATTGTTTTAATTAGCAATTTATTAAAAAAAAAGCGCTGTCAAGTAGGAGGTTGCTAACCTTAACACAGTTCGAGACCTGAACCTGGGCAGTAATTCTCTTATTGATGTTGTTAAGGTAAATTATTTATTTATAAATAGCGTAAAAATTTGCATACGTAGTATTTTTCCGAGAACATTAACTAAGTTCCGCGATGAATTTTTAAAACGAGTCCATGGCTCAAAACAGCTTTTAAAAATTGAGGAAGTAATTTGATCTTTCGCTTCCTTTACTTACTTAATAATAAACCTTACTCAAAGTTGTACCTAATTGTTGCATCATAAATATTAACATTTTTTTTACATATAGTCTCCTACTTTCTTATGCAAATAAATTCATAAAATTCCTCAAAAGATAAAATAAAAAACTAATCTATAATATTAGTATTCTTCCCGTATTTGTACTTTAGATTAGTAAGCTTCTACCAGTGGCTTCGCTCGCGTTTATGTCCTAAATGCGTATCAAAGATCATCAAAAATATAATAATCATCATAACCATCATGATCATCAGGATAAAAGTTTGTAATTTTCTATGTCAACATCTCCTTTTTGTAAAATGACAGTAAACAAATAAATACCTTATATTAGTTCTTTTATAGTTGTATATTTTAATTAATCATTTTGTGCATAATTTATAGACAATTTCAAAAAAAAGTTTTTCATTCATTTTATGGGATTCCATGTATATTTACTTCAAATGTATAAACGTCAAGAAAACCTTATCAAATGAATCAAAAATTTGTCAGTTTGTTGTTATTTGTTGTTAAGTTTTTTTAAAAGTAAACTTAATTTAAATAAAAAAGCATATTTAAAAAATGGTTAAGAATATAGT